AGAGACCGGGGGCGGGGGCCCGGGCGGGGGGGGGGGGGGGGGGGTCCCTCAGCCCAGCCTGTGCCCTCTCACGGTCCAGGAGCCCTCAGGGGATGTCACTCCAACCAGAGGTCAGATGTGTCCTCACCCAGCCGGCACCAGGAGCTCTGGAAAAAGCCCCTCTGGGAGAAAGTCCCTGTCCCCCCCAGGGCTGCCTACTCCCCAGACTGCTTCAGATGCTGAGCCCATGCCAGGGTGAGGAGGCAAGGAGGCTGGACTGATGCCTGGGTCACCCCAACAAAGACCCTGCTCCCCACCAGCTGTGGGGCCCAAAGGGCATTGCAGCCCAAACACCTGATACCGGCTCACCAGCGACACCCAGGCCTCAGTGCCTGCAGTGGAGGGGGCAGCTCACTCTACAGATGAGGAAACGGGCTCAGGGAAGCAAAAGAATCCTGCCCAGACCAGGGACCGGAGTGTTCTCTCATCTCTATGACTGGCCCGTGCCAGCCCGGTGACTCCCCCAGTCTGGAAGCCAGGAGGATGCCAGGTGCTGTAGACGGACTTGCCAGTCAACACATCCAGGGGGTCAGAGGTGGATGAGCCATGCCTCCTCAGCTGGAGACCACGATCTGCCTGGGGGAGCCCTTGAAACCTCACTTATGGCTGGCAGCGTGCCTCCAATGGGCCCCGCTCAGGCAGAGAGCTGAGTGCTGCAGGCCACTGAGGCTCAGCGAGGTCAGGGCCAGGAGGTGCAGGAGCCAGGATTCCAACCTGACAGTGTGGCTCCAAGTCCGCCTTGACCCCTCCTCTATGCCACCTCTCTGAGTTGACCTGGCAGGTCCACCCAATGCCCAGCACCCCCGCCATCCAGAGCACCCCCAGGTACTCCAAGCTGGCACTGTGCCGCTCACCCCTTCCTCCTGCTTCCGTCTCACACCTCCACTGAGCCCGGGCCACTGAAACAACATGGCACCAAGCAGATCCCTCAATAAATCAGGCTTGTCCTCACCCTAGACACAATCCAGCCTGCACAGCCTGGCCCTCTGGCCTCAGGCCATCTTGGATCCAGCTGGCAGCTTGCAAACGAGTCCTGCCTCAGGGCTGAGAAGCTGATGTTCATTAATAGGAAACCTTGGGTACTTAATTGGTATTGATGTCCCCAGGTCCACACCGCAAAGCTGATAGATGATGCTGTGCCTGCCAGCGTTAGGCAGGGAAAGGGTTGATTAACACGGCTGTGCCAGGGCCCTCATCTCACCCACCCTCCCCCGGACTGAGTTTTAGCCCCGACTCCAGTTGCTATAGGGGGGCCGGGGGGTGGGGGGACTCACCTTCTTTGCACATCCAAGTTCCTCCCTCTTCCTCAACCAACTCCTTCCTGCCTCTTCCCTGAAGACCATGGAACTGAAATCAGACAGACCTGAACTGAAGACCCCAGTTCTGTTTCTGGCTAGCTCTGTGAGCTTAGGTGAGTTACATAATCCCAGTGTTTTCGTCTTTAAACCCTAAAGCAGATGAGACATGTTCTAGGCCAAGCACAAGGCCTGAAAGGTAGCAGGGTGTCCAGCACCAGTGCCCTGTGGACACCCCCTCACCACGCCCCACAGGCCCCTCACTCAACAAGTTCCCACCGAGCTCAACATCTTCCCCCTCAAACCTGACCCTCATCATCCCCACTGTCACTCCCAACAGCGAAAGGCAGAGGTCTGGGGTGTCCTCTGGGACACCTCTCTCCTCCCTCCACACGTTCAATCACCGAGTCCCGACAACTGTACTTCCTAAGGCAGTGATGGCGAACCTTTTGAGCTCGGCGGGTCAGCATTTTGAAAAACCCTAACTTAACTCTGGTGCTGTGTCACATATAGAAATTTTTTGATATTTGCAACCATAATAAAACAAAGACTTATATTTTTGATATTTATTTTTATATATTTAAATGCCATTTAACAAAGAAAAATCAACCAAAAAAATGAGTTCGCGTGTCACCTCTGACACACGTGTCATAGGTTCGCCATCACTGTCGTAAGGGGCTGTCCCGTCTCCCCATGTCTCCCCACCCACTGCCAACGTCTTAGATATCGTCATCTCTGGGTTCTCACTCCAGCCTCCTAACTGCCTTCCCTGCACTTCCTCCCCAGGAAAGCCTGCCTGGCAGCCAGAGTTCCCTAAAGAGTAAATCCGATCCGGTCATTCTCTTAGTAAAAACCTTTCAGGGGCTCACCCTGGCGGGGTGGCTCAGTTGGTTGAAGCGTTGTCCCACACAACAAAATGTTGTGAGTTCAGTCAGGGCACATACTTAGGTTGGGAGTTCAATCCCCAGTTGAGGCACATAGGAGAGGCAACTGATTGATGTTTCTCTCTCTCTCTCTCTCTCTAAAAATCAATTTTAAAAAAACATATCGTTTGGTGAGGATTAAGAAAAGAGAAAAAAAAACAACACACCTTTCAGTGGCTCACCATTGTTCTCAAGACAAAGTACAGTCTTGGTTTCAGAGAAGAATTTACAGGACCCTTTGTGCCTGCCCCTACCTCTGACTGGGCTCCCATGTGCCCCGTCCCAGGCCCTGAGCACGCCATGCGGTGCCTGACTCAGCAGCCATGCTCATGTTCTTCTCTCTCCCTCTTCCCCGTCCGCCCTAATTAACTCCCTCTCAGGACTTGGCTGGACATCAGCTCCTCCAGGAAGTCTTCTCTGCCTCTCCATGCTGGCTAGGGCCCTCCCCTGGACTCCCACAATCCCCCGTGCCTCCGTCTTTCTTTACTGCAAAGACCCCGGTCCTCCTAAGCCAGCGGTTCTCAACCTGTGGGTCGCGACCCCTTTGGCGGTTGAACGACCCTTTCACAGGGGTCGCCTAAGACCATCCTGCATATCAGATATTTACATTACGTTT